TTGACCTTGGGAGTAAGGCTTGTCCCTGGCAGAAGCAAAGAGTTGCTGTTTTGCACATCTTCTTCAGTTGTTGGCTATGAGGGCGACCTGTTGTGACATCTGCCCTCCAGTGAGACTGCCCCTTTCCCACCTCATGCTGAAAGGACATGGGAAGGCAGTACTTGTCTTATGGTGTGTGTAGAGCCTTGTTGTTTGCTTGTTTGTTTTAAGAAACATTGAAACAACCATGTCTCAAAAGGAGAAAGAGTAAGACTCAAGGAGTCTCTAAGAGGCCTTGGCTCTCTTCTCCTTGTTCTTTTGGATATATTGATTTTTGTTTTGATAAAGAGCTAGCGTTTAGAACAAACAGCAATAGAAAACTAGAAGTACATGTCTGGAGGTTCTAGCTAAAGCAGACCCATGCTTCCACCTTGACTAACTTCTCTAGTACAAACACCACATTCACATGCCAGTGTATACGCTCAATCACAAGGCACTTCCATCAAAACACACACAACTCATTCTCTGGTTTTAGTACCAGTGAAAACTGGGAAGTGGACTACTCTTCTCTTTTTCTCTCTTTTGACATGCCTGGGTATCTTCGGACATACACTTGGCCAGGATGAATGATTTCAGTAGAGAGGGGTTGGGATGCAGAAGCTTAGCCACGGGAAGAGTGTGCCCTGAGAACCTCATTCTTTATGAAGATTTAATTACTTAACCCTAGAAAAGACAGTGTTTTATACAGGTCATAAAAGTCACTGTGGACTTCTGCTAGAGAGAACCTCCAGACAAGCACTTCTATTTTTCTATTACTGTTTGTTCTCAATGTTAGCTCTTTAACAAAACAAAAACAATATGTCCAAAAGGACAAGAGGAGGAAGGGCCAAGCCAATGGTCCCTGTGTGAAGAAGATACAACTAATTAGCTCATGGAGGGGACCAACCAATTCAAAGCCGTTCTTCCCAGCCTAACAATACATATGCTAGATCAATAAATTCTATCTTTTGACTCAAAACAATCCTGAAGGACAGACCTCTGCCTGCCCACTCCTAGTTGCTGCTGGCATGTGAAAGCAGTAGGTGAGTTTCCTTGAAAAATATTCTATAACTTCATCAAATTTGCTAATTTTAAATGTCTGCTCCCACACTGTATTGCCCAATTATATTGTACAAGTAAGTGAGGCTTTCCCATTGTTGCCTTTTTTTCTGCAGAATGAGTTTCAGGCCTTTGCTGGAGGCATCATTTATGTTGAGCCTGACCTCTTCCACACTTTTGGTTTTGGTTTTTGTATTCGGGAAACCCAACAATATTAAGGTTCCATTTTCTTTCCTGTGGAAGTGAGAAGCCAAATACCCACGTTAAAACTCACCAACCTGTTATTTGTTTCTAATTTTTTCTTCCACATCTTTTTCCTCTTGCTGGTCTTTACGTAAAATTATTTTCAGTTGATAAATTTATTTTCCCCACCCTGGTCCTCAGTGGATCGAGTCTTATGTGGTTTTACAGCCCTGATAGCAGTATTGCTATCTTGATCTTTTGGTTTTTGGTTTTTGAGGTTTTTTGGGGGGGGGGCAGTTGTTTTTGTTTTTGTCAGCTCGCCTCAGGGGATTTTTATGTGGTTCTTATAAAATTCTAAGACAATGAGTTCCCTCATTCTCACAACATAATACTCCAAGGAATTATTTTTAAAGATGCTGTGGGGAAAATCTAAGACATACATCAAATTTTCTGTTAAAACAATGGTTCTCAACCAGGGGTGAGGAGGAGGGACCTTGTTTCTACCCCTGGACATTTATCAGTTCCCACGGACATTTTTGGTTGTCCTCAATTGAGGAGAAGGGTGCTACTGGCATCTAATGGGTAGAGGCTAAGGTTGCTGCAAAGCATCCTACAATGCACAAGGCAGTCTTGACAACAAAGAATTATCTGGCCACAAACTTCAATAGAGCCAAGGTCAAGAAAACTCTGCATTAGGGAGGAATTCTTTCTTTTCTTTTTTTTTTGGAAGGGCCAGGGGGTACTTTCTCTTAAGGCCTGGGAAAGACAAGAAAAGAGAAAGCTAATGCTCCACAAGCATCCTGAGTTCTTATATCCCACATGGATCCAGGACTTGGAGAGCACCAGGGTACCACTGAACAGGGCAAAGTGCAAGGTTGATACAGATCTTCTTAGCTCCAACAGCTGTCTCAGCTCCAAGGAGAGAGACAACTTCGACCAGAAAAAAGGACCAAAAAGTTACAAGGATGTTTAGTTTGTGATAAAAATCATTGTGCAGATTAAAGTGTTTCCTCCTGCCTATAAAATAGTATGTTCTTTAAATAACTCCAAAACTGAAGGCATTTAACTGTGTTGTGTGCAGGAGGCAGGAAGCCACACAGAGCCACGGTCCACTGACTCCACCCCAGCTGTAGGTGGTAGCGCTCTCCATGTTTTCTCCACCTTGCCTTTGAACTAAGCCCCTACTCTCAGCACAAAGGGATTCAGGGGATTGTTTCCTGGTAGTAATCTCTCTCTTGACTGCATTCCCATTTCTTGACTCCATTCTCCCTCCTCCGGGGGCAGCAAGATGACTGCTCAGCTGCCAGCTCACCTACTCTCATACCCAAGGCAGTCATGAAGAGTTCCCAAATCCTCAGCAGAGTGTCCTTGTGTCTCAATGGCTTTGACTGGATCAGGTGTTTATCCTAGCTGGGGGAAGAGAGGAGATGATTAGCTGTGGCCTAGGTTAGAGCCTACCCCTGCACTGCAGTGGAGCCTCATGTGATGCTTGTGGGCTGAAGGTGGACACAAGGGGAAATTGGGTACCATAGTCAAAATGGGGGAATGGATGCCCAGTAGCATACATAAACACACACTACTTGCTTTAGATTCAGTGGTGAGACTCTGCTCCTTGCCCTAGTGTTGCTGTTAACTAGCTTTACAATTCTCCCCACCTCCTTCCTCTGTTCCCCCCGTGAAGTAATATTTTCACAGTGTTTATGAAAAAACAAGCAATTATCTTGGGATATAGGAAGGATTGTACAAATAGGCAGTGATAGTGTTGTTAGATGAGAATGAATTCAGCTCAATTTCTAAAATCTCAGAAATAATCTAGACCAGCCATAACCCTCCCTGCTAGTCCATGCCAGCCTTCGGAAGCCAGTGTCTAAATTTATCCCAGTCCTCATTGTTGCAGGTCAGTGTGGGAAATCTTCTGAGGTCAATGACTGAGGTAATTGACTTGCCGTGTATCTTGAAAAAGTCTCTGTTAAATGACATAATTGGTTTTAATTACGTAATCACGGCACTTAAAGTGTGGAGGTGAAAGGTTACTATTATATTTAGAAGTGAGATCCCCAAATGAAGCAAGGGCATTTCAGCCAGCATGTCTTCGAATTTCTCCTTTTATTTTTTCAGAAGGAAGCCAGAGTAGGCTAGCCTTGGCCTGGTGATTTGGGGATGATTATCCTGCATGAGGTAGTGCCGGGGCTGCTGGCGGCATCATAGGAACCTTTGTCAAGAGACGGAAAGGGCTTCTGTAAAGACCACTTTGCGATCTGAAGTTAATGAGCAGTGGGAACTCAACTGTCAGCAATTGAATCTGATTGGGCAGGGTAATTATATGATTGCCTCTGGTGTTTGCACATGCACGGGGATATTTTTATTGTAAAAAAACCTAATTGCTTACTTACTTAGTGGAGGGAAAATCTAAACAAATTTTCGTTGTCATAGGTTAAGAAGACATCCTTTCTTTGTTTCTAAAATAGCTGCCAGCTCTGTTTCTTAGGAGTGAAGGTTTTGTTTCTTTTCTATTTCAATCAGGGATGTTGTTTGCATCCCTTGTATTATATGATAATATTAAAATGGAAAACTACTTTGGATTACGCATTTTTGGTAAAATAATCACGTGCTTTTTGCCCCATTTTAAACCATCCCTTACAATGGTCTCTTTCATCATGCAAAGCCTGCTAGAACCCTGAGCGACATTCAAGCCACTGGGTCTCTCACAGGCTTTTCGTTTGTTTTTTTGTTTTGTTTTTTTCCTCCCCACATGGAGGCCCTGGACAAGACTGGTTTCGTAGGCTTTCTGGTTTCCCTTAGTTGTGTAAGGTGAGTGGGCGGTATCATGTCTATGATAGTCTTGGAGAAGTTGAAAACATCCAGGGTGAAAGGACATAGTACTCCCTCCGCAATTTCCCAGGGACTTGGAGGAAAGGAAGGGGTAACGTGGGATCCCACGTCAGGATGCCAAATTGTCATCTACTGTCTTGTGTTTCAACAACGCTGATGAGGATAGGCTCTCATTCCTGCCTGATGCTGGTATGCAGAAAACAGATCGCTACAACTGGGTCTGTTCTATAGCTTCAATCCACATTATTGTTGCTTTTTTCTCTCTTCTTTTAGAAAAACAAAACTTTTCTAAGCTTTTTTTTCCCCTGAGATCCTACTGGAAGAGGTCAAAATGCAACTGGATTGTGCGAGCACAAGTGCCTCCAACTGTGATAAGGGATTCAAACTCCAAATCTGGGTTCTCCGGTTGAGTGTAGGATTACAGGCTGGAGAATGGCCAAAAACAAAGGGCTTTCGGCCCCTCAGACCCACCATGCTCTCTGTCTCAGGAATCTTGCATGTGCTGAACAACCCCAAACTTGGCTGGCAAACTCCATGGGTCCTCCAGGCTGTGTTACCTGTCATGTCACTTACCTGGGAAGCCCTCCCTGACAGTTCATCTCCAGTCTGGGTTGGCTGCCTTTGCTTTGTGCTCTGTGGCTCCCTCTAGGTTCCCACAACCTACTGTCTGTAACTGCCTGCCTCATTGTCTCCCCCTAATAACCCACCAGCTCCACGAGGGCAGGGCTTGTGTTCCACTGCACTATCTCCGGAGCCTGGCACAGTGCGTAATGAGTGTGTGTGGAGTCACTGAATGAGGAGAGAAATGGTGGCTGGGTGCCTCGGGAAGACTGGTGTGTGCTGACTGGGTTTCCCTGCCCTTGCTGTTAATACTGCTTTCTTGTTGCTTATAATTTTCATTGCCCCAGATGATCCAGCTCTGTCGGAGGCACATAGGCACAGCCAAATCTCATGCTGTACATTGATCACCTGTCCAACCTTTGCCTAGAGTGGGAGCCCCCAGTTCCTTCAAGAGATCCAACTTTACCTGTCTGTAAAGAAGAAGAGGAGGAGGGAAACAGCAGGGAGGATCCGGTGGCAGTTTAACACCAGAGCAGGTCCAATGTTTATTTTTACCCTTTTGGAGGTGGGTAACTGCAAATGCCGTGGGTGCTGGGTTGCAGAGAGACTCTGCCTGATGACCTTGGATTTGGGGGCTCACATGAACTTTATTTTTTGCTAGAGTATAGGGGCTGCTATTTTTGTATTTAATTCACAGCCAGGTTGTTCTGTGCTTCCCATCAGCGTAAAACAAGAATCCAGTTTCACAGTCCACATGACGTATATTGTTGTGTCGGCCTTGTAGTGGCCACACACAGTGTTGTTGGTATCTTGCTACGTGGACAGAGAGGAGGATCATTCACTGGCTCCTATTTACTGACTGTTATATTTATTATTTGCCTTTCAAGGCATATGATTTTCAACAGCCTTTCCTGTTTTGATTTTGTGGGTTTTGATGTTTTGAACCCCGCCTTCCAACCAGTTGACTTCTTAGACTGTGAGATCCTGAATAACTACTGAATAGATGAGATTTCACTAACCCTACACAATCCTGGGTCTGCCTAACCAGCTTCCTCTCTAAGCAGAACATGAACTTATGACCTTGCAGGCCTCAGGCAAGAGGGTTTCCTATTGAACCCACAAGCCCAGAACCATCCCTGAGTTTGAACTGTCTGTAGTTGATTGGCCTGCCATAATGATTTTTGGGTGGATGGACATTTGCACATGGAAACCACAGCCTCACATGTGGCGGAACAGAATAAACCCACAGAGACCACAGGGCACTGGCTTTGTACTTCTTGCATGGTTATCTGCATTCAACTCTCCCAGGTCTAACTTGTATTTTCCCTTGTTGGTTGAGTCTCTGTTTACTTTGCATTCTTGAGTTGCAGTTCTGCTTTGACATGACAAGTACCTAAACTGGAATCTTTAGGCATTCCTTCTAGGAAGAGAGCTTGAATCTACCCAGTTTTATAGTAGGTAGGTTCATCAACATCATGTACTTTGAATCAGACAGCGATGGGCCATGGTGAGCTTTATTCCTGAGCTCTAGGGCAATTGCAGTTTAATTTTCAGTTTTGGAATACCACCAAAAGATGCCTCACCATCTCATATCCTTTCTGGATTGAGGCAGGTAATAACTGCCTACACTAATAAATCACATGCTTTGCAATGAAAAAAAAAATCTTTGAATGACACTTAATTTTATAATTAAACTTGGCAGTGCTGTCTCTGAAATGTCTCATCTTGTCTAATCACAACGATCTATTCCCTTTCAGAGTGCTTCTGTATGTAATGAGCTAGTCCTATTATCAGATAATATGGTGAAGAGAATAATTTTTTTAAAAATTAGAATACATGATTGCATTTGAGATCAAACTCAAACTACTGATAGTTTCTATTGTTTTGTTTTCAAAAAAATATGTTTCACATCCCTTCACTGATTAATTACTCAGCAAGTAGATTTAAACATTGGTTCTTTAAGAGGAGTGCCTGAGCCGGGCTCGGTGGCTCAGCCTGTAATCCCGCGCCTTTGAGAGACTGAGGTGAGTGGATTACCTGAGTCTGTGGGTTCGAGACCCGCCTGGGCAGCGAGACCTCATCTCTACAATAAATCAAAAAATCAGCCGGGTGTGGTAGCGCATGCCTGTAATTCCGGCTACTTGGAAGGCTGAGGCGGAAGGATCACCGGAGCCCAGCAGGTCGAGGCTGCGGTGGCCGGGAGCGGCCACTTCTCTCTAGTCTGGGTGACAGAGTGAGACTTCAACTCAAAAAAAAAGAAAAAAAAAAAAAGAGGAGTACCTGGACCAGCATTCCAAATCCTGACATCACCTGGGAACTTCTTAGAAATGTAAGTTCTCAGGCCTTATAGAGACCCACTGAGTCAGAAACTGTAGGTGGGGTCCAGCAGTGTGTGTTTGAATGAGCCTCTGGGTAATTCTGATGCTCACAGAAGTTTTGAGAGCCATTGATTTAACATTCTGAAAGTATATGATGTGGAGCTATTAAAATAAGAGTAACTATGTAGCATCCTGCTATCCAGGAGTTTGTGATCCCACCAAGGGCATAAGACATAAATTCATCAGACAGTTTAGCAGAGTGATATTTTATAAAATGTAAGTTACAGCCAGGCTCGGTGGCTCAGCCTGTAATCCCGCGCCTTTGGGAGGCTGAGGTGAGTGAATTGCCTGAGCCCGCGGGTTCGAGACCCGCCTGGGTAGCGAGACCTCATCTCTACAATAAATCAAAAAAATCAGCTGGGCGTGGA